TCGCGTGTTTGCTCCGGTGAGAAAGTGCGTCATCAGGGTCCTCAAATTGTTGTGTGCGGAGAGTCATTACTATGAGGTTTGACAGGAGTTGCTGCAGCTGCTGCAGCGTGCAGTTCGTACACGGCAACCACCTCCTTTTAAAACGCTGCCACTTTTAATGCACTTCCTGAGACTTAATGTCATGTAAAGGCCAATTAGGAGCGATTGTGTGAAGATAAATTGAGTAATTAATACGCTGCAGATATGACGGTCATCTGCAGCTCCTTTGAGTCGGTCCACTAAAGCATGCCTCGGGCCTAGCACGCACCAGTCATGTGCTGGCAATGGAAACAAACGTCCCTGCATACCAGGCAGTCGGCGCACCATTCTAGTGTGTCAAAACAAGCGGCAAATAAACGGGCTGCAATCAATCGTGCATTCCAGCCTAATGCGCCGGCGTCAATGTTTGTTGAAGTCCGACGGTATTCACCGAAACAGTCGGCCTAAACCATTTTGCTTTCAATAAATTCAAACCGTTCCGGTGTAATGTCACGTCGCCCAACGGATCTCACTCACGTTACGCTGTAAGCCCTGCACGGCGGCCTCATCAAAGCGAAGAGGCCGACCTCACAGCAAGCCACGTCGGCTGGGGAAAGGGCAGCCCAGCACCGCAAGCGTGTCGCTGACGGGGGGCAACGAAAGCAGCCCAACGCTACCACCTCGCGGTTGCCTCCAGCGTCACATCCTGTCACGTGCCGTCGTCAGGCGTCGTGCTCCGGCGCGTGACTACCGACCGCGCCCGGCATCTGGCCGCCCCGCTGGCCGGGAGCTGCGGCTTGGCTCGCAGCTGACTGGGCCGGGAGCCGCGGCTTGGTTCGCGGCTGACTGGGCCGGGGGTCGCGGCCTGGTTCGCGGCTGACTGGGCCGGGAGCTGCGGCTCGGTTCGCGGCTGACCGGGCCGGGAGCCGCGGCTCGGTTCTCGGCTGACTGGGCCGGGAGCTGCGGCTCGGTTCGCGGCTGACTGGGCCGGGAGCTGCGGCTCGGTTCGCGGCTGACTGGGCCGGGAGCTGCGGCTCGGTTCGCGGCTGACTGGGCCGGGAGCTGCGGCTTGGTTCGCGGCTGACTCCCCGCCGCGGCTTGGTTCGCGGCTGACCGGGCCGGGAGCTGCGGCTTGGTTCGCGGCTGACCGGGCCGGGAGACGCGGCTCGGTTCGCGGCTGATTGGGCCGGGAGTCGCGGCTGGGTTCGCTGCTAACTGGGCCGGGAGCCGCGGCTTGGTTTGCGGCTGATTGGGCCGGGAGCCGCGGCTCGGTTCGCGGCTGACTGGGCCGGGAGCCGCGGCTCGGTTCGCGGCTGACTGGGCCGGGAGCCGCGGCTCGGTTCGCGGCTGACTGGGCCGGGAGCCGCGGCTCGGTTCGCGGCTGACTGGGCCGGGAGCCGCGGCTCGGTTCGCGGCTGACTGGGCCGGGAGTCGCAGCTTGGTTCGCGGCTGACTGGGCCGGGAGCCGCGGCTTGGTTCGCGGCTGACTGGGCCGGGCGCCGCGTGCAGAGACGAGGTGACAAGAACGGCGATGCGTAACGGTGCCGGCTCGCAGCCGAGCGCATCGGTGGCATCGCAGGGCAGCTCTCGGAGGACGCTGGGACGCGCGGCGGACGCGGTGGTGACGGCTGGCCGCCTCCAGCGCGTGACCGGCGCCAGCGCACCGCGGCCTGTTGTGGTGCCAGGGGTGTTGGTGCCGGTCAGGTCAACAGCTGACGTTTTGCGATACGGAGATAAAGGCAGGGACACTTTGGTAGTGTCACGCTTGGTATTTTCAGTTTCCGATAGGCATTTGGGGGTCAGCGTGATTAGCCATCATATATTGGGTGTGCACACAAACATACGCACATAAAAAACATATTCATACCTTCTAGACCAAATCTTTCACTACAAATGATGTGACAGTTTGCTTAATGGTGTTTGTTTTTTAGAGACGTAAGTAATCAAACGGGAGGGGGGGGGGCAATGTTACCTGTTTGCCATTTGCGCTCCGAGGAAAAGGCGCTGCCCCGAGCAAGGCAAA